GTCATCAGCGGCTTGTGAGCCGCTGATGACAGCTATTACTTTAAAGGGGACAGTCTGCTGAACAGTTCTACTATAAGCTGATGGTCGCTGAAGCGACCATCAGCTTATAGTAGAACTGTAAATGCCAGGTCCGTACGACGTACTGAGCTGGCCAGCTGGAAGCACTTTTGTAGCTCCGTACGTCGTACGTCCTTGGCAGCGAAAGGGTTAAACTAAAATCTCACGATTCATGTCAGCACTATTTATTAGGGCATCGCAGAGTAAGGATGTAGTAAACTACAGCAGCCAATCGCATTTGTATCTAGTCTCAGAACCATGAGCGATGTTTGTGGGTTACTGTACCTCACACATTGCTCCTATTTCTATTTTACTCCAACTTTCTACAAAAATCTATTGTTTTCTTCTATTCCTGAGCATACTCTTCTCTCTTAGAATAGAGGCCAGTTCATCAATATTATCCGCTATCTTTTATAGTTCACTGTTAAAGTTTAATACCCTAAGATTCACTTTTGTGGGTCACAATTATTCACATCCCAATTATTGTATAAATTCCCATGATGCAAACAAGGGACTTTCATGATGCTAGTGAAACCGGTGAATTGGATATCAACCTAGATCCTAGGGACAACGTACCCAGGTGGGATCAGGGAAGTCTTCATGTGCTAATATTTTATAAAAAATGCAAATAATGTACTAGAAAAAGCAATTTATAAATCTAGGTATAATCCTTTCTTTAGACCATAACCAAACAATGGACTGACTCAGAATTAGATCCATCTGACTATTTAGTCTTCATTGCTAGTCAAGTCAAGAACATTTTGTATTGTGAATGTGGCTAATAATTATTTATGGCATTTTTATACTCGAAGCTGAACTCCAGACTCGCAAACCTTCACTTAAATATATTCCTCAATAGTTATGCAGGAGAAAAATCCACTTTGTGTGCACTAAATACCTTTGCAGCCCAAGATATTGTCATATGCAGGTAGTAGTGACGTAATTTCCGTGTAGTACATAGCCTGAGCTGAGCTGTGGGAGGGACCCAGCAGACCCCACCCACTACAGAAAACTACAGGAGGGGGGCGGAGACAACATCAGCAGTGACTGCTCTTTATTATGGGAAGCTCCTGCACACAGGCAAAATTTCACACTGGAATACTACACATATCTGGAAGAAATACACAAAACAAAAGCAGGATTCCAGTAACACTATACATCCCTTTTTATATTTAGATCATATTTGATTATCCCGAATGTCTGTTTTAATGTGAACTTGTGCTTTGCCCATGAAGCGACACCTAAAACTGCTATTTATCTTAAAATAGCAATGTCACATTATTTCATGATTTTATTTTATTTTTATTTTTATTTTTTTACCTCTTATGGGTGCAAAACATGCTTTTGTCAAGCTCATAGGTGCAGTAAAATGAATGACAGGATACTGCTGTAGTCTTTTATCACATATTTACTGCATATATGTTGGAGTATATGAGTTTTAGGTAATTTTATATTATTTTATAGATTTTCTTTGACTGTCATTGTTTTAGTGTTATTAAATCTTGCTTTCTCATATTGCTTGAAGTTGGTATGTGACAGTTTTTTGTCTTTTCTGATTATGTCTTCCAGGGCATGTGGATTTCACAATTGAAGTGGAGAGATCACTAAGGGTATTAGATGGGGCTGTTCTTGTTTTGTGTGCAGTTGGAGGGGTTCAGTGCCAAACTATGACCGTGAACAGACAGATGAAGCGATACAATGTCCCTTTCTTAACATTCATTAACAAGCTTGACAGGCAAGGCTCTAATCCTGTTAGGGCACTGCAGCAGCTCAGGTGAGTAGCACTGAATGCTCTCTACAGATTTTGGAAGATCCTTCACCATATAGAAAATATAGAGCCTTAGCTGTATTATATTCTTTTATACAACAGGTCCAAACTGAGCCACAATGCAGCACTGATCCAAATTCCTATCGGACTTGAGAGTAACTTTAAAGGAATCATAGACCTCGTTGAAGAACAAGCTCTATTTTTTGATGGAGATTATGGGTGTGTATAATTTAGAAAGATCTGCTGTTTCTTATTGTTTACACTTGTGGGAGTATAAATAAGCAATGTGCTTATTTAATGATATAGAACAGTGAGCAATAGTGTGATGTAAGCCACAACATAGGAAATAAGCCTTCATTTACAGATTTCTAAATATTTTTTGAACTGTCTGCTCCCCTGTGTAATTCTGAACTTTGACCTGTCCTTTTGACCCCACAACCAATCACTGTCCAGATCTTGCCACCTTCACTTACGTAGTGCTTCCAAAATTAACTAATGACGCCACCAAGGTACTAATTCACTCTTTGGTTATCTCTCTCCTCGACTATTGGAACTTCCTCCTCGTTGGCCTAGCTCTCCACAGTTTATCCCCCCCCATTCACTCCCCATGAATGCGGCTGTCAGACTCATCCACTTTATAATCTGCTGTTTGTCCACCTTCCCTCTGTCAATCACTCCACTGGCTTCCATTCACCCAAAGAATACAATTCAGAAAAAATCCTAATAACATAAGAAGCCATCCACAACTCTGCCCCCAGCTATATCGACAACCTTGTCTCAAACAATCACCCAATCCGACCGCCTGCTCTTTTGCTCCCTAGTCACCTTCTCCCATGTTCACCTCCATTACTTCTCCAGAACCTCTCCCATACTCTGTAACTTCCTATCCCAGCCTGTCCACCTTCTTGCAATCCCTGAAAGCTCATCTCTTCAGGGAAGTCTTCCCTGTCCTGTCTCTATGTAACAACTGAACTTTTAGTTTCTCCATCAACCCATCCTCACACAGTTGTTACCTTTTTGTATTCCTTGGTCCTCCTCTTTTTGGATTGTAAACTCTCATGAGCAGGGCCTTCCTATTCCTCTTTCTACCTCCTGTCTCATTTTATATTGTCAAGTGCTGCACAAACTGTTGTTGCTATATAAATCCTGTGTAATAATAATCTGCTCACTCAATGCTTTTAGAAATGTGATTTATGATTGGCCAATTTGTGTTTAGTACAGCACTGCAGTTTTCCTGCAATGAAATCGCTGTGTAATCTTCTTACAGGCAGCATGTGCGGTATGAAGATATTCCTGCTGAGTTCAGAGCAGAGGTTGCAGATAGGCGGCAGGAGCTGATAGAAAGTGTGGCCAATTCAGATGAAATTCTCGGAGAAATCTTTCTAGAGGAGAAAATCCCTTCTGTTGCTGACCTAAAGGTAAGTTGTGGTAATAAATAAAACTCCTGTCTTCTGCTATTTCTTCAATTTTTCTGTAATACGAGGTGATTGAATAAATGTCACTGTGTTTCTCAGTTGGCCATCCGAAGAGCTACGCTAAAGAGGGTATTTACACCTGTTCTGGTGGGAAGCGCCTTGAAAAATAAGGGTGTCCAACCTCTTCTGGATTCTGTGGTAGATTATCTACCAAACCCTGCTGAGGTGTCCAACTATGCCATTCTCAATGAAAAGTAAGTCTGTGATAGATGCATATAATCTGATGTGTCTGTACATCTTAGTATTACGTGATGCAATATACACTGAGATGGTAGTGGAATGTATTACATTGATCTAGGCACAGCCAAAGTTTTGTTGTTTTTATGAAAGCTTTGCAATTTCCAGAATAGTGGAGAGAAGGAGTCAAATCTTTATTTCTCTACTAGGTGGCAACAGCGCTGTGTCTAATAGTGATCTGCTTGTCAGGGATTGAGGATCATTGGTTTTCAGTTACTAGTTTTATTTTTTGTTTGGGTTTGAAAATCTGGAAGAAAATCTCTTCCCCCCAATTTTCAGTGATCCGCAGTAACAAATACCAAGTTGAATCAGATACATTAAGAATGAACTGAGCTTAAATGCTAATTCGGTGGTTAAGAGTAAAATGTATAAAATATATTATAGCTTATGTACTAGAAAAATGTATGAGTGGGGTAGGAGTTACATTATGCAAAATGGGTGAATGTCTGCTTTAAAGGCTGAGAAAACAGTAGGTCCCCCTGCACTCCTTACAGCGCTTCCGGTGCAAGTGAAAATAGTGGTGCTTGCAGTGACAATCACGAATGGCGCCCTGTACAACAGTCAATGAAAAAAAGTCAATTTATTTGGACTAAACGTCACACATCACATCGCATAAGCTAACGTTTCGGGACCACGAAGGGTCCCGAAACGTTGGCTCATGCGATATGTGTGGTGTTTAGTCCAAATTGACTTTTTTTTACATTTAATTTACGGAGTGCTAGTGATTTCTATTGTTCCTTGCTTTTAAAGGTTGTTCTTGTGAGGACTAGCAGGTTATACTTCATGCTAGTTGGTTAAAGTATATCTAACCCCAAATACAACCATGTAACGTATATTACAACTTACCAGTCCTTAGATGTGGTGGCTGCATTACTTTTCTTTTTTTAGGTTTTCTTTTATTTTCACCTGGTGATGCTGCCAGTAACACACTTACTTTCCTAGGATAACAACGCTCACTTATCCCGTATGTATGGAAGAACAGTGTTGTCGCCTTAGGACCAGACTGCAGAGTACTCCCTCTTCTCTTCTCTGTAATTCTCTAACCCTCGGAGAGCACAGAATAATATCAGCTCACAAGATTTTTATTTTCTTTTATTTTTTTTTCCCCACTTATCAAACAGATATATAACATAACCCTTTCAATTATATATTTAGCAGACCAAGGGTTAGGGTTTACATACACTTTAAATGCAAAAGTGTCTGTAATCTTTGTATGAATGTGGGTGGGCTTTTGCAATGTTCTTTTGTTTTCTGTAGGATAATACCAGGTGTTTGCTGTATAAACGTGGACAGTTGCTCATTATGTACCTTTTCTCCCTTTTATCTTAACTCATTTAGCAATAAAGTTAAAAATGTTTCTCTTTTTAGAAAAGGAGAACAGTCTACAAAGATACCGATGAGCCCTGTCAGGGATGGCTCTCAGGCATTTGTTGGACTGGCATTCAAACTAGAGGTAGGGTTTTTTTTAATATGAATATGGTTATTTGTTAAGTGGATTTGTCATATGTATGAAAGCTTGTGACATGAACTGCAGCTTTGTCTTTTCTAAAATCTTTTGGTCTGGTCACTCTCATCAGATACTCATATCATTAGGGTGCGTTATATTCAGTTAAAAACAGGAAAAAAGAAACCTGAAGGTATGACCCATAGCAACCAGTCCATTGTTATGCACTGCAAATGACAGCTGTGCCTTGACTGATTATTTTTCCTTTTTTCTTGCAAAAAATGGATGTCCTAAGTTCTTGTATATGTTCTAAAATATTTCTTAAAGGGAACCTGTCAGAAGAGAAAAATGGGAACCAATGTATCTGACTCAAAGGTCAATATTCCTTGGCTTTACTCTTCTCCATCCTTTGCTGTTTGGTAAGTCACTGACCTGAAATAAGCTTGTACATATTAAGTATTGGAATGCCTGATGTGGATCCAGGTCAGTGGCTTCCAAAGTAATTGAACAAGGATAAAGTGTATCTCTAGGTAAAACTTTTTCGGTAGAGTGGGGAATGATCCCTCTGTCAAGTTTTTCTTGCTATCTGTGTCCCCATTGGGGAGATTCACCCCTCTATTTGTCCTGGTGATCACTGTCGCTGAGTAAATGTAAGAGGAAATCCTAACATTTTAGAGTTGTTGCCAAAGGAATATCGTCCAATGGGGAGACCTTTTCTGGAGCCAACTGTCTAAGTAGAATTCCTTTGGGATATTTCCTCTATCTTCCTGTCAACGTCTTTGGGACAGGAAATGGGAATTTCATCAATGTTACGTCAAACAGCAAATCTAACCTGAAAAAAGGCTTGGTTATACATATACTTTAAGAATGTCAACTGTGGACATGGACCCTTTAAGGGTTTTCAGTTCCCATATTTCTATCCTCACAGGTTACATTTAAGCCTTTTGTGCAGAGATTATCTCTGTATGATCTATCAACTCAACCAGGATCTAGCAAGATGTGTGTTTTGTGGAAAATGTGCCTTCATGGTTTTGTCTTTTTTATTTTTTAGGCTGGTCGCTTTGGTCAGCTGACATACGTCCGTGTGTACCAGGGATTGCTGAAAAAGGGGGAATACATTTACAATACAAGAACTGGAAAGAAAGTTCGAGTACAGAGGCTTGTACGTCTTCATGCTGACGTAATGGAGGTACAGTGGCTTTTCTTGTAGTAACTAACATCAATAGTTAGTGATATTTTAAGAGCTTTAACTACACATTATACATTTTATTACTGATAAAGCATGCAGGTTGTTTTGCTTTCTGAATGTTTACAGCCCAAACATTAATTGTTACATGCCATTTGTTTTTTAAGGATGTAGATGAGGTCTATTCAGGTGACATCTGTGCATTGTTTGGGATTGACTGTGCAAGTGGAGACACTTTTACCAGCAAATCCAATGACAACCTATCTATGGTAAGTTGCATGGTTTAAAATGAACATCTTTGAGAAAATGTTACAGAATCCACTATAGCAGTGTTTCCTTTTCATGTCCTCTGGTCCAACCAACAGGCCATATTTTCCTGCAAAGCGTACAGATACACTGAGTGGCCAGATTATTATGACCACCCCATCAGTACTTCGTTGGACCACCTTTTGCATTCAATACTGCGGCGATTCTTCTTGGCATTGACTCTACGAGATGTTGAAAGGTGATGCTAGGATTCTGACACCATGCCTGATGAATAGCACTGTCCTGTTCTGTGAGATTTGATAGTTGTGGAACCAGCTGCCTGATGGCTCTTTCAACTTCGTCCTACAAATGCTCAATTGGATTGAGATCTGGTGATTGTCGGGGCCACCTAAGCAAGGTAAATAGCGAGCAAGTTAGAACTTATCTAGCAGTGTTTCCACTTCATGTCTTCTGGTCCAGCCAACAAGCCATGTTATACTGCAAAGCTTACAAGTACATAGGCAAGTAATTTAGTAATTCGCTAACTTTGTGGATATCCACACATCTGTGAACCGGACTTTAGGATCGGCTTGGAAAAAAAACTATATTATGATATATATGCTAATAGAGTGTTTGTATTTTTTCCATGCTTGAAAATTGGTTACCTGCCTTTTTTAGACTGTAAAACTGCATTGTCAGAGCTCAGTGAAAATCGTAACCCCTGCCATTTGCCATTCTGTCAAGTCTTGATGATGGTTTTATGTACGTAGAAACCACCAGGGATTGACTTAGGTAGCCACTGACAAGTACCAATCCCGCAGAGAATGGGAGAAGGATCTGATATCCTCCCTAGAGGCTTACATTGCCGGGTCAGTGCAACAATGCAGCCCACATTTGCTGAAAGGTTCATTCTCTTTTCTTTGTAGTAATGCTGGCCATACACAGTGATTCTGCCAGTGAAAGCTGATTGACGTTTGAGAGTGTTAAAAAATTGCCGTGTTTCTGGTCTGTATAAAGAAATGACTGGCAGATCTTCCAAAATGTCACAATAATAATGAAGTCTCATCCTGCTGGTTTGCGCATATATTTTACATAGTAGAGAATGAATCCGCAAGAGTGAGGGAGTCATTGAGCCCACCATACTCCACGCTGATATACCACTTCTGAATGGACTGGCCTTTTTCATCTATAAGGGTGACAGAATTGAGTCTCATGTCAAGACAGCGCCTGTGGAATATAATTGATGTGAATAATGGTTCCAGTTAACTGTATAAAAGTCAAAAATCTCTCAGTTCTTAATCCGAGGTCTTTGACGCTTTTTCTGTTAGAAATGATACATCCTTTTTCTGGTTGCAGGAGTCCATCCATGTACCAGATCCGGTTATCTCTGTAGCAATGAAACCGGTCAACAAGGTAAGATCCTGACGCGTATGTATTGGCATTTAAAAATCTTGTTTGCTTTGTTGATCATTGCTTGTCACTCTGGGACTCTTTTTGACGCTTTTGACATTGTCAACATTTTTGGGAATATTTACATTGGCAGAATGTAAATTTATTTGAGTTTATACACCTATAAACCTGCCCCCCACATTTTTATAAATAAAACATTAAGTTAGTGTTCATGAATTAAAGTGCCAGTAAACCTGAAGTGTATTTCTTCATGAGAGTTTTTCAAATAAAATAGTCTTTTTATATGTGCCCTTCTTTTTTTTTTCTGTGAACCTATTACAGTTTGTAGGAAATGCCTGGTAATCCTGCCAGTTATTTTCACTTCCTTCTTCCCAGCGGCAATGTTCTGTGGACCGATCTGCCCTCTGCAGCGTTGCCACCCCTGTGCATATGTTGTACAGTATCTTCTGTTCCCCTCATCTCCCACAAACCCAGATCACAGGCAGGAATGCATAGCGGGGTGACTTCTCTGTGGCTTAGCCCCGCCTAGAGACAGGGGCCATTCACTGAAGAAAGGAAAGTAAATTGGATATTTACCAGCAGCTCATCAGCAGCTTAGCGCTGCCCACAGACCAGGGCCATGCAGTGGGGCAAAGAAGGATAACAGTAATATGACCAGATTATACATTTAAAAAAGGTATTTTTTTGGGACTTGTATAATGATGGGATGCCAAGAGCAGTGTGCTATAATCCATATTAATCTAACAAAGATCAGGCTAAGTCTTACCAGACTGGAAAGGGTTTTGCAAAGGCCAGCTCTAGTTTTATACAGAATTCAGCCATTTCTCACCCTTCAGAATGCTGATGCTGGCTTTAACCAGTTGACATCCGCGGTGTTAAACCCCCTTCCCATCCAGGCCATTTTTCAGTATTCAGCGCTGCGGTACTTTAACTGACATTTATTCCGTCATGCAGCGCTGTACTGAAATGAATTTTATACCCTTTTTTGGGGACAGATAGAGCTTTCTTTTGGTGGTATTTATTCACCACTGGGGGTTTTATTTTTTTACTATATTAAGGAAAAATTACCGAAATTTAAAAAAAAAAAAACAGTTTCCCCTATATTAAATGATAAAACATTTATTATTACCCAATTTTTTGGTAAAATATAAAAGATGGGGTCACGTCGGGTAAAAAGACACTAAACATGTCAAGCCTTAAAATTGCGTGCGCGCGC